TCCCCGCACCGGTAACAATCCACCCCCTCTAAGCTGTAGTCTCTTGAAAGGCGTTTATACGCCCCATCATGCCTTTTCTTATGCGTTCGAAGACGCTGGTAACTGCTAAAGACCTTACCACAATAGCTACATTCGGTGGTCCTACAACAAACCCCATTTTCGATATGGTATCGTAGCTTTTGAGGGGTGCTGAACTCCTTATTGCACACCCTACAGGTCTTACCTATTGACCTCCTTATGCAAACCTCATTTCTAATGTGGTATTGCAGCCTTTGCTTCGTACTAAACACCCTCTTACATCTGAGACAGTCCATATATATTTAACGAAATCCTAACCAAATCTTAACATCCTACGGCCCCCTTTTGGGATATCCCAGACCGCATTTAACGAAATCCTAACCAAATCTTAACATTTTTGGGTGCCTTATTAAGATATCTTGCTACCCATTTAACAAAATCCTAACCAAATCTTAACATTCTGAGGACCCCTTTCAAATTTACATGGGATATCTCATAAAATCCTTAATGGAATCTTTTGCCCAACCTGCCATCGTTATCAGCGCGCCAAACCGTTCTGCACGCTTCAGACCGCACATTTCCTCATATAGCTCCTTTACACGTTCATTCAGCCGGTCTATCTCCTCCCTTTGCATTTCGACCGTCCTTTCCAGGTCTGACTTCCTTTCGACGATGTTAACCATTGCTTTGACTGCTTCCACGGGCTCCATATATATCAGGGAACAAGTTCCCTTCGAGAGAAGGGATATAATGGAACCAGATCACATGCCTTGTAACGCCCTGATAGTAGGACCCGCCGGCTGCGGAAAGACCCAGTTCGTGGTAGAGCAGCTATTAGGACCCTTTAGATACCGATTTGACTACATAGTGCTACTTTGCCCCACCTACGTGAATAACCGCACCTGGACGGGTGTAGGCGTAAAAGATGACGACTTCTTTGTGGACATACTGGATCCTAATGAGTTATCCAGCCATCTTAAGTTCTGGCACAAGCAATTCCCCAAGGATACCCAAACCCTCCTTATACTGGACGACATCGCCTGCGGGGACGACGTAAAGAGACGCACTTCCGAGTTAGTAAAGCTTGCTTTCAGCGGCAGGCACGACAATATCAGCGTTTGGTTGCTCTC